GGATGTGCAGACGGTGGGGAAAGCAGGTGGGAGATACTTATAGTGGTACAGTGTGTGTGTGTAAATGCAGAGAAAAACACGTGGAATCACCCAGAACTGCCCTCCAGCAATCACATCAGGGGAGGAGGGTCGTGCCGTTCTGGGCAGAGAATACCCAAGAACACTTATTTTCTAAGGTTAAGTGCGTGGATAAACAGAAAGAAATATGCATTAAGTATATGTTTTGTTCATTAACAAAACTCTAATATCTAACAGAATATTTGTCACAGAGTAAGAAAAATCACGCTCAACTTTTCACTATTGTGAACTCTGTCTTTTACTCGCTATACACCTGATGGCTAGGAGTTCACAGCCATGCCCATGTTCGTGAAAGGCCACCAGGTTCTGCTTCTTATCATGGGCACTTGTCACATCCCTGAGGTTGAGGCAAGGAAAGAGAAGGAACATGAGTAGCAGTGAGCTCCGATTGCCGGATAAATCAACACCAAATTCTTCCTCCGGGCTTGCAGGAACCCGAGCACTCGGATTCTGCCCTACCTCATGATCTCCAAGCACCTCCCACTGCTCCTCAAACAGAACCTTATGCTCAGGCCACAGTGACTCCCTTACCTGTCTTATGAGTTTCTAGGCTAGAGGAAGGTGTGGCCTACACATCAGGAGATTTGGGAGCCCACAGCATTCTAGGTAGGGAGGATCCCTGGCTATACATAGCAGGGAGCGCAAAGAGCGTGGGAAACCTCATCATTTAGCCTCAATGCTGCCCCTCAAGGGACTAGGAGAAAGGAATGACTTGGGGAGCAAGCGACAAGATGGGACACCAGTACCATAACAGAAACGCACATTTTGCAGAGGGGTGCAGGTGTGGACCGCGAAGGGTCACTTACGGAGTTAGTCATCTTCCTCAGGATCACTGATCTCTTCATACACTATTAGGTTCTTTCTTTCCCGCAGTCTGCAGGCCCAAATACTACTCATCCGTTTCCTGGGTCCTATGGTGGACAAGAGTTGGTAAATGGGGGATGGATGGGCTGGGGAGGGTTAGTCTCTGTTTTGTCAGATAAGGAGATGCCTCTTCCCTCCCGAGTGCCCACAGGCATTCGACATAGTCTGTTTTTCACATCTTCTGGCTCAGAGAGGCTGATATGTAGACCCTCACCAATACACACCAAATGCCAGTTAGAATTTTAGCTTCTGGCTCCTCCCATTGTCAGGTTTAGATTCCCAACCTCTTTACTTACTAGAACATTCATTCAGACCTTCTTTCATTCAGCATATGTTTGTTAAGGGTATATAGTGTGTCAGGCATTGAGCTGAGGGCTGGGGATACAACTCTGAGTAAGATATGTTCCCAGGTTATCACAGATGGAATTACTTGACCACCTTCCATGTTGTACAGGCTTTCTAGATTTAACGCCTTTCAACAATTTGTGAACCAAGATTATTTCCGTTTTATGGACTAGGAACCTGGAGTTCAGAGAATTCAGAAGACTTGCCTAGAATCACTTGGCTTTTATATCAATGACAATTCAAGTCTATGACTCTGGAAGTCATGTTTTAACATCTCAGCTGGAGCTGGGCGAGCTCCTCAGTCAGGTCTGGCCCAAGTCTGTCCAGGATCCATCCCCCATACCTAGACCACATACTTTTTTTTTTTTTTT